GCAAACTCCAAAATTCAAATGAAGTACAATTACAGTTGTTGATGATCTGAACCGACTAAATCCTGAAAAGTGAGATCATCATACGGAGCAAAAAAGGGGGCTTGCAGTGTAAGCTAGCAGAGAGGTTAATTAGAAGTAACTGAGGATCAGATAAAGGGTAACGAGGGAAGAAGGATAAGAGATTCTTTTCTCGGTGCGGAAGGGAAGAAAGAGAGTGGATATTTTCGAGTAACAAATCCGAGCCCTTCGTTCACAATGTTTATGTAAATTGTCAGATATGTCCCTCTTCTACAAATGAATGGCAGAAGGCTCTTCTATTTTTCCTTCTTTAAATACAGATATATAAGTTTAGTAGTTTTTTTAAGAAGTCTTACTTCCAGAAACTTAACCAAATTACATTTACTCTACTCTTATGTATTGATAAACTTAGTGATACAAAAATTTATTTATTATCAAATGTAGAGTGTTATAGACTCCAATATTTTTCAATACTTTAAATTCTAATATGCTTTTGTATAGACTTTATAATAACAAGTAATTTAAAATTTATTGATATTTTTCTCTATATTAAATAGCTAATTTCAATTTTTATCTTATATAAATTTATAATAAATTACATTTTATTAAAAAAATTTATAATTTTCATTTTGGTTTGAACTGAAATACAAGGAGCCTATTTTTTAAATCATATATTTTATTAATTCAATTCTCAATTTGATTTTTTGGCTATTGAAATTTTTTTTATAAATAAGTATGAAATTGAAAAAAAAAAATTTTACATATTATTATAAATCGTATATTGAAAATCATCTTTAAATATTTAATAAATTTTTATAAAAAAAAAATTGAATAAAATCGTAGACAAGTAAAATGAAATTTAGTACTTTGTCAATAAATATTTAAATAATTTGAATTAATTAGATGAAAACCATAAAGGTAGACTTAAGTTTTTGCTTAGTTGCATATTTGTCATTTGCAAAGTCAAACGAGTCAGATTTTCATGATGTCATTTTAAAACTTTTATCTTTTTTTTTTTTTAAAAAAAATGTATTGTGATAAAATAATAGTCGGTCTCATAAAAAAAATAATAAATAAATAGGAAGGGTATAAAGGACTTTTCTCCCAGACGGATAAAACCTAACAGCAATAATGCCGGCGGCCAAAGGCGCCCACTTGATGCCACGTGTACAAGTGATTTTCTAGGAAATTCCAAAACAAAAATATCAATTCCTTAGATATTTTATTCAAGTATTCTCGGTATCTCTTAGATTGGACAATGTTGGATTATTTTTGCATTGACGTGTAGTGAAGTACGTAAGTAATATATAATTAAATTAAAATATATTTTTTCAATTTCATAAAGATTTCAGATAAATATGAAATGTTGGTTTAATAGTAATTATATAGGTGTTTTATGGTTGTTAATTCTTATAATTCTATTATAATTGTAAAAGAGTTTAAATAAATAGAAGAAAAATTAATTTAACTGTATATCAAATATGTAAACTATGATTAACTTTTAATTAAGATTTCAGATAAAAATATTCAATTCATGGATATTGAAAAATTAGTATCTAATAAAATATATTTAAACTAATTATGAAGTAACATTTCTCCTCCAACGCTGCTTGTTACATAAGCCATGCATGACAAGGGTACTAGGCATAGGCCACGGCTTCTCAGATCTTGCCTGTCTTCGTCACTCTCCACCTCCTCTGCCGTCAAACCCTACGCGGTTCCCATTTCAAATATAATTTTAATTATATCAACAAATATTCAAATAATATATATCCAATAAACCTATATCTGACTTTTATTTTTCTTACCTTTTGAGCCCTTCTAACCATCTTCTTCCCCGATGATGATTTCATGTACGCCACACTTAGTGTCTGCATAAACTATCACCTCATATCTTCACTATTTTCGTATATAATTTACATTTGTTTTAATTTATTTGACTCGTAATTTTAAATTAGTCACAAAAATATATATTTTAAATTGAACGTAAATGTGTCTTAGAATTAAAATATTATTTTTTTATATCAAATAATCTTCGTTCAAATTGTATTGAATTAATCTTGATAATTAGCATTTTGAAGAATTAAAATTTAAAACAAATCCAATCTAATTCATCTTTTAATAATTTGTAAAAGCTTGGCAGGATGTAGGATACCCTGGCTAACTTCACCATTTTGTCCCTTGTTCTTTTTCTTCTTCTTGATACTCTTCTCAAATTTAATGAGGAATATATGTGTCAGTGAATATATAAAACAATAAGATCACAGCGAAAATGAAGAAGAATATGCGTGACAGTTGTGAATTTATAAATATATAAACTAATTCTTTTGTAAATGCTTTTTTTTTTTGTAGAAATATTTTATACATGTTAATAATAATTAAGCTAATAAAATATTTCCTTATCTTTGAGAGAAATTTGAAAAATAAAATTAAGTAAAAAAGAATGAAGATGGCATGGTGATAATCAAAGTTTAGACGCACCTCGATCTGGTTTTGAAGGAACTTGATGTATCCAATAGCCTCCATTAGTACGGATGCTGTATCTGTCTGTAATATTCTCCAACCCCACATCACAGTTATGTTATTGCTTACCCCACGACATATCTCTTTCTCTCTGTCTCTCTCTCTCTCTCTCTCTCTATATATATATATATATATATACATACATACATATAGTCACGTATGTAGAAGCAAAAAGAAAGGTTACCTTGCCGAAAGGTGCAACCAGTTGTTGAAGAGCTGCAATTCTATCTCCTAACTTTTCTTTCCTGGCCTGTACTTACAAATGTTAATTAAGATAATAACATTTATATGCATATCTATGTGTCTGAGTGTCAGTCATGGGTTTATATATATATATATATATATATAATATATGAATCTGAAGCATGGTTAGTACTCTTTGAGCAACCTTAAAGGGTGGGCAAGAAGCGCGTGAGTCCAGTCGCGATTTCTTGGTCGGAGCTTCTGTTGCGTTTGGCTTCTCCACCAAGATGCTGGATCTCTTTTCCTCTGATGTAATTTGATTGGGGAAAGATGGTGATAGCTTTCAAATAAATAAAAGAAATCAGATGAACAGTAAATATGCTACTATATATATATATATATTATATATATATATATATGTACATATGCGCGCGCGCGCACACAATAACGTTTAAAGCTGAAGGTTCTCCTTATGCAGCTACCTTTTATTCTGCAAGTGACTTTAATTTGTTAAAAGAATTTCATGCTAAAGGCTTCGAACTTTAGAAATCCCCAAGAGTACTTAATTATATGTTCATAATTATATACATGTGCATATATATTATTGTTAGCTATTTAATTAATTTATAACAGGCATAGATATAAAGGTGCCTGTTTATAGAGCTAGCAGAAGAAGAGGAAGAAAGTTATACTACTCACTTTCCCAAGATCAGTGGATGAAAACTGAATGCAAGTAGCATTGAATCCTGCATCCATGGCCTTCAAATTCATGTGAATGTTGAAGTTGGAAACATCGATAGTAGGATGAATCTGGGTAAAGTTTCCAAAAATAGAAGAGTTGTGGGAATAAAATTGATGAAGATTATGGGCATTAATTGGAATTAAATCCGAAGAACTCATGGTGTTATGATCTTTGTTGATCATCTTCATAGCTGTAGTGGAGTGGGAACTGTTTAACATTTCAGTAAAGTTAGGAAAATATTCATGAGCAGACTGATCAGTGCTGTTTATTGAGACAATATTTCCTGAAGTACTAGCACCATTAATCCTGCACAGTAAACATGTACAACATTAATATTTGTGTATATATATGTCATGTTCTATATATAAATAATAGAACCGTTAACCCTAGTGGATCCACATTATACTAGTATTTGGGTATTACCCAGAAAAAAGAAGCAAAGAATGAAGAAATTAGATTCCAAATCCTTAAGCAAAGTCACGATGAGAAAGAGCTTACAGAGAGATATTTGGAGTCCAAGCTTGTGAGGTCGTAACGCCATAGCAAGAAGAGTTAGTCCCAGCAAGATTATGTTCAACCTGATCATGTTGGTGATGGAGATTTGCAGACTCCATATGAAGTTTATATACCCTTTGCAAAAAGAAAATAGAAGAAGAAAGAAAATAGGAGATATTCTTGAAAATCCCGAGAGAATTAAGCAGCTAATTGAAAATATAGAAGACGGGGCTGCTAGCTCCAGGAATCTCTCGCTGTATTCGAAGTAATTACAGGTGACACCCACATAACTTATTTGTTTGTTTTTTAAAAGGTAATAAACCCGCTTTTCTCAGTTGCCCTTTATTCTTTCAAGTTTCCGTCTTAAAGTAGCCTTGAAAAGGAAGAAATAAATGAATAAATAAATAAACACCCTTCGGATGTGCATATACATATATATAATCCTTCTCCACACACACACACACACTCTCTCTCTCTTTAGCTTTTATATATATATATATATATATATATATATATCTATATATTATTTTCTTTTAATTAGGCTAACTATCTCTCGTCTTGAGAGTGTATGTATATATGTAATGTTTAATATTTCTAATTACTGCAACTAACGAAGGCAGATGATAATTAATCTTAGACACCATGATCATTAACTTCCATCCCAAGGCTTTCAACAAAGGAGTGAGAAGCGAAATGATGGCACCATGCCCTCTCTCTCATATCCCAACACATGTCCAACATCTAAGCCGCATGCATATGCTGCCTTCTCTCTGCATCTACCAAGCTAGTCATATTTACATCCATGTGCGTGTGTTTGTCTGTCTATATTTGTAGACACATATAACACACTCTACTGAGCTGAAATTCTTATATTTCTAGTCATAAATAAATTAGACGTGATTTCAATTTTTCCCTCAATTTTTTAACTTGATTTCTAATAAGTTTGGTGTGAAGATAAAAATTTAGACGATAGATAATACTAAGGAACGACATTTTCTGATTTTTTATGTAGTCAAAGAATTATTTATCAGTTCTCTTGTATTGAGACTTGTTAACATAATGTTGTTATCTATACTTATAGTCCAACTTCTGCTTGTATTTTGGGGGGAGTATGTGATTATTACTTTATACTTGATTAATAAAACTTTATTTGTGCTATTGAATAATAAGTCACCATTTTAATTGCCCTATAGTAAGAGGGTAGAGTGTACTCTTCATGAGTAGATTTTTCCTTTTAAATAATGTACAATGTATACATATCTACTCATATCCTATTTCAAATGTTATTTTTGTCTTTCTCTATAAATGATTCTTTCCTATCAATTAATTATGTGAATCTATAGAATAATGCTTCAAATGTAACTGATCTAACTATGTAGTCTTCAAGAGATCAACAATCTTTTAATCATACTCAGATGGTAAGACAATCGTCCAAGATTAATAGGCTTTTTCTTATTTATAGAATTATCATTACAATCTTTTTTATCATGTTAATGTCTCAAATCATATTGTACATCATTTATTTAAATAAGTCTCTTATGAAAATCTATCACCGTTGAATAAAACATTAGTTGTTGTACTCTCTTCACATATTAAATTATTATTTTATTATCAAACGTTACTTGATGCACACTGGCGAATAACTCTACATGAAGAATTACTTGCTTTGAAGAATAATAATACCAGCTTTATAGTTGATTTACCATCTAATTGTCCTCCAATGGATTTATAAAATTAAATACAAACCAAATAGTTTTATTGGCAGGTATAAAGAAAGATTAGTGTCTGAAGGCTACATGCAGCAGAATGGGATTGATTTCATGGAAATCTTTTGTCATGTAGGTAAATTAGTCACTGTGAAGCTACTTTTGGCTCTTGCTACTTGTCAACATTAGCATCTTATATGGTTGAATATCAGTAATACATTCATTAAAGATAGCTTGTGTGAAAAAATTTATATGGATCTTCCCTTTAAAATGGAAGATAATGGACGAACTGGAAGTTTGGCAAATTACACATCAATTTATAGTGTTAAATATGCATCGATGTAGTGGAATTCTAAATTTTTTTATGCTCTTCTTCAACTTGGTCAGATAACTTTTGTTCACTAAAGCCTATAATGGTGCTTTTGTGGCTATATTGGTATAGATTGATGGCATAGTCATCACTGACCCTTCATTAATGGTTCTTAAAGTTGTGAAGGAACTTACACTCTTAATTTAATCTAAAACATCTTGATAAACTCTTGTACTTTCTTGAACTCGAATTGCTAAGTTGTATATTTTTATCAGTGACATTATACTCTCTAATTGTTTGAAAACACTAGTTTCTTGACTTTTAAGCCAATTGACCTTCCTGTGGATCCTAAATTTTCCTCAAACATAAATAATATTGTTTTATTACCTGATTTAGCAAAGTATAGGAGGTTGGTTAGTAGATTATTATGTATAGTTCTTCTATGGCTAGATAGCATATTTGTTGTTCATAAGCTCACTTGTTTGTCTCAAAGTCTAGACAACCTCAACTTTAAGTAACACATCAATTATTAAGGTATCTTAAGTATAAACTTGGATAAGGATTATATTTTCTTCATGTTTCATTTTTGCAGTTGAAAGCATTTTCATATGCCAACTATGAATCTCGCGTTGATTCTTGGACATGGATTTAATTTTTTATATATCTAGATCATGAATGTTAACAATTTAGGAACAATGGGCTTGAGTTTTGATTAAAGTTTGTTTCTATATATTTCAATTTTGATACTTTCATAAAGTTTTGAAACTGACTCGATATTCTTAATCCTTCTCCATATTTCTATTAAGTTAATCATGTTGAAATTGATACTAGGCTTAGAAGGATTTGAGATGAAACTTAATCCTAGGTTGTAGTGAGTTCAATCAATTTAGATTTGTCTTTGGAAAGACTTTACATGTTTGAGAAAATATTTTTTAGTTTGTTATTGGAATGAGAATATCATGCCATAAGATTTAAACATATGGGTGCTATCATATGTAAGTGACTGTTTGTAGCTTACAGTACCGTGAGCTTGATGACCTTATGCAGTGGTGGTGTGAGCCAGTGGGTGTGATCTTCTTTTATTTTGGTAGGATCTTTATTAGGTTTAGGTGATATTCTTATTGATTCTTTACGCGTGTGTCATTCTTGTTTAAATTATTATAGGTTTTAATTTTTACTAACCTATTGCATTATTGTAGTAAGACTTGATGTTATAAATATTTACTCATAGCATGTCATGTTTGGTTTTGGTTATCATTGGGTGTTTTAGTGTATTATGTTCTAAATTTAACTTTTATCCTTTTGTTCAATTGTTTTTTTTTTCTTCGTGTATTTTGATTCTCTTTTCCATGCCTCTTTTAAATATCATTTTAGTGTAGATGAATATCATTATCATACCCACACCTTTTTAATTTAAAAATAAATAAAATATAGATATAGTACACATGATAAATTAATCTATACCACATGATAGGCATCGTAGATCTTCCCGTATTGCAACATTTTGGACCTAGAACTCTTAATTTAAGTCGATGTTTGATTATAAAGTCCTATATCTTTCAATATGATCAACATTGACTCCCTAAACTTTCAATTTAAAATATATATTTTGATGAGTTTTGTCTCTACTCTATCTTTGGTTACGAAAGACTAAATTATATTATGTGTAAATGTTCATACTAAAATAGTAACTAATTATGATATTAGTATTAGTATGACATAAACACAGTATAACATTTATCCTGATCATAAAAATAAATACAGTATAGTAGTATTATTTAGAGAGAAAAATTTAAAAAATGTGATTATGATGTAAGAATATTATATTGTCGAAGTCGTAATATTTTTTATTAATTAAGCACATTTTGCGTAAGTATAAGTTGGATTATTTCATAATATACCTAAAAAATGTTAAGAGTTTTTCACATATATCATTTCACCAAAAGAGATATAGTAAATTCTATAACATTGGTCTTCCAGTATTGTTTTTAATCAACTTTTTGACATTGAGAACACTTCTTCGACCACTTTTTGGGGTGTACTTGGA